CTGCAAAATAATGCATCATTCTCCTCTCCATACAGCCCAACATCTTTAAATAGTCAACCTAATATACTATTTACTCCTCAATCCACTGCTATCTGCTTTCTGCCATCAAACCATTGAAAGCACTTCTAACAAAACAACCAATGAGCTTTACCTTCTTTTTGCTAAATCCAATGGATATTTTCACTTTTTTTCTTTCTTACCGTCTTCAAGCAGCCTAGCCCTGCTGACCACATCCTTTTCATGAAGAGCTATCTTCTTGGGGCTTGAGACTGCCGCCTCTTCTGGTTTTAATCCTCGCGCTCTGGCCACTCCTTTGAGGACCCTTCCTCCTCTGACCACTTGCTCTTCAGACCCTCAAATGCTAGTGTTCACCTGCATTCTGCCCTGGACCAGCTTGTCTTTTTCAATCTCTGAATGCTGCCTGGGAGCCCCACCTACTGCACTGACTCTGCTTCCCATCCAATGCCAGTGACGTGCCGTCTCTAGCTCCAGCTCAGGTCCTGTGGCTCAGCTCCCATCGCCTACAGGAAATCTCCAGGAGCATATCCAGGTACCTGAAACTCAATACACCCCAAACCGAACTAGCATGTCCTCTTGTCCCCCAAACAGACTTCCTGTATTTCATAAGGTCTAGTACCATATCTCCTCAGCTGCTGGACCCAGAAAGCTGGGTGTCAATCTCTTTCCTCTGCCTCCCTCACCCCTGAGCTAATCACACATCCCTGCAGAAGACTTATTTCTTAAATCTGGCTCCAGAATTCGGTCCTTCTCCCCAGTCCCATAACCACCACCACTCTGGTTAAGGCTACAGTCGCCTCTCCCTGAGGTCACAGGAAGCACAGCCTTCCCGTACCTGGCCTTCTTACCTCCAACCTTGACCCTCCCAGCCCCTCCGTCACACACACTCAGAGATTCCTGGAAAGAGGGAATCTGATCACCCTGCACTCCAGATTCAGATTCTTCAATGCTTTTCCACCGGCTGCACTCTGAGGACAGCAGAGGGTTACTGAAGTATTTTGACCAAGCGGGTGAGAGGATCGAATTCAAAGAGCAAACAGCACAATAGACTTTCTGACAGCCACAGTGGAAGACCTGGAGTTCTATACATTCTCTGACACACAAGAATGGATGTTCCCAGTTACAAATTCTCACCAAAGAAACACAAAGATGTATTTCAGAATGAAGAAAACTGAAACTAGAAAGGTGTGAGATGAAAGAAGGATCAGTGAGTAAAGAATGAGGGTAAAGAGAAACAATCAGTGACTGTATAAAACAGGGATGGTACTAAGTGATCTGGGGAGTGATAAACACAAGGCAGGACGGGTGGGGCGTCTGGGACAGGAGCTAAGGCATTCTAAGGTCTTTGTATCTTTCATAAGAGGTAAAGATATTGACTAACTTTAAACTGTCACCACAAAAGAAAAAGAGAATGTAAAACTTTCAAACTAGTAGAGGGGAAGAGAATTAAATAAAGAAGTCTTGAAGGCAGAAAAGGAGAAAAAGGGGAAGTAGAGAAACAGAAGAATAAATAGAAAACATAAGGTAGGAAAAATAACTGTAAATATATCAGTAAACGTAAGTGAAAATGATCTCAATCCAACAGTTTAAAAAGATTATCAGATTGGAGTTTTTAAAAATCCCAGTTTAGGGGCTTCCCTGGTGGCGCAGTGGTTGAGAGTCCGCCTGCCAATGCAGGGGACACGGGTTTGTGCCCTGGTGGGGGAAGATCCCACATGCCGCGGGGCGACTGGGCCCGTGAGCCATGGCCGCTGGGCCTGCGCGTCCGGAGCCTGTGCTCCACAACGGGAGAGGCCACAACAGTGAGAGGCCCGCGTACCGTAAAAAAAGAAAAAAAAAAATCCCAGTTTAGGCTGGTTATAAGACTTAAGGACAAATAAAGGCTAAATATAAGAGGATATCTATATCTATATGTGTATATCTATAGATATACACATATAGATATACACACACACACACACACACACCATGAAAACACTAACCAAAAGAAAGCTGGTAACTATGATAATATCAGATAAAACAGAGTTCAGGAGAAATATCAGGGGTAAAGAGGACTCATATAATAATAATTGAAACCCCCCCCAAGAATATTCTAGATTGTGTGCACAGAATAATATGGCCTCAAGATATCTAAGTCAGAATTAAGAATGATCTGGAACCATCATATACAGAACTCTGTACTCCCAAACAAGAGAATATACATCATTCCCAGCACACAGTGAACATTTGCAAAACCTGACTTGTACCAAGTCACAAAGCAAATCTTGACCTATCAAAAAATCAAAATCATATAGTCTGAATTCTTTGACCACAAATGCAAAGAAGGTAGATCAGGAGCAACACACTAACCAGAAAGACCACAGTGGCTGCTGGGTAAAGAGTGGGTGGTCCTGGGGACCAGTGGAGCAGGGAGACCAGCTCAGAGTGCAGGGAGTGGGTGGGGGACTAGGTACGTGTGAGGCAGTGACGTGAGAGAAGAGCTCTGACCGTCTTGTCCGGTCACATACATCCGGCACCTAACACAGTGCCAGACACACAGTAATTGCTAAAATCCAGGCTTAAAAAAATGAAAAGGAAGCTAACTAAATGCTAGCTGAATGCGCTGAAATGAACTGAAGCTCCGTCCTCACAGAGGGTTCCCATGACCCGGTCACGAATGCCTCACCTGGGTCGGTCCACCTGCTTAAATCTCGTCTCACTTCCCTGCCCTTGTGGTTCCTTATTATTGAAATGTTTTTATGGGATGCCTAGTGTACAGATATACTATGTGTTTCTACACCTGTTATCTCATTTAATTCACCCCAAAACATGTAAATTCAGTCCTGCAAATTCCACTGTTACAGATGAGGAAACAGGTCAGGCTCAGAGAGGTTAAGTAACGCAACTTAAGGTCCTCCTCTAGTAAGGGATTTAGACCTTCATCTGACTTACTTCTCTCACCCTCTTAGAGAGGCAGTATGGTGCCCTGGTGTCATGATTAAGGGCACTGGTGCAAATCCCAGATCTGGGACTCATCGGTTGTGGGTGCTTGTACAAGTTAACTGTGCCATACCTCACTCTGTCCACATATAAAATGGGGATGATCACACAGCAGCTACAATGAAGGGTTGTTATGAGCACCAAATGGATTGATATATAAGAATTGCTTAGAAGAGTGTCAGACATATAATAAGCTTTCAATAAATATTAGCTATTTAGTATCATTACCTGTTTAAGGAATCAGTTATGACTCTCAGATAAGAGTGTCCAAATTAATTAAAACTGAACCAGAAAAGTGGGCAGGTGTTGACTGCCTTACAGTTAAAAATGCAGATATTGTAGCCACACACACTAAATGTTCACTTAAAAGACCTAATCTGTCTGTCTCAAGGCGACTCGGACAACCATAGACTCCGGACTAGCCCTATAAGACTGTCGTTGGGAGACACAGCGCAAACCCACACCCTGAGCATCTGACCCAGAGGAAGGTTTCTCAGCCTTGGCACCATTCGCATTTGGGGCCGGATAATTCTTTGTCAGGGGTGGCTGTCCTGTGCATTGCACAAAGTTTACCGGCACCCCTGGCCTCTATGCACTAGATGCCAGTAGCACACTCACACTACCCCACCCTATGCCACCCATTTTGTGACAAGCAAAAATGTCTCCAGATAGAACCAATTGTCCCTAGGGGGACAAAAACCATCCCCAGTTGAAACCCACTGCTCTAGTCTTCGTGACTGAAGCTTTTCTAGTGGGATCCAAAGCAGACCCCCTTGTCCCAAGTTCAACTCTAGAGGTTGTCATAAAACAGCGTGGGGCAAGGATACAGTAAGGACGGATAATGCAGATAGATTATGCAGGGCTTCACACAGCCCCATGTTCACCCTCACACATGGTGCATGGAGACAGGCTGGAAGGCAGAATGCAGAGGCCATTTCAATCTTGGCTGATGGAAAGAAGCCACAAGGAAATCTGTGTACTTAAAACGCTCTAAATGTTGTAGCATCTGTAATGGGCAGAGCATTTACACGGAGCTTTCGCCTTCAAATCGCCAAGCTTTCAGCCTCCACTAATATTGTCAAGGGGCACAGTTGGCCCTCTTCCATCTTCAAGACGGTTCAGGTTTCCTGGAGAACAAAATGAGCCTCTGATGCCTAATATTTTCTCTCTGACAGATGGTTTCAGACGTATCAAAGTGCTAATCCTTGCTAAGGTATAGGTCTCAAGGAAGGAGAGCTTGGCTTTTAGAATGATAGGACTTGAATGATTAAGGAAGAAAATTACTCGCAGGATATTGACCACTGTCATGTGAGCAACCAGCTTAAAATGAATCTGAAAAAATATTTGAGGAGAAAGGAGAGGAAAAACTCAAAAACCCAGGTTAACAGTTTAGGTTTGAAACATTTCCACTCAAAGACATCTTTGGGAGTGGAAATGAAGTGCGATAAAAACACCTTCAAGCTGAGGATAATTAAGGTCCATCTCCCTCCCCTCAACATCATCATTCTCAGCTTCAGTGTCTGGAAGGTCTGGAAACAGAGGCGGGAGTAGGAGTATTTGTCTTGCCACTTACTAGCTGTGTGTCCTGGGGCATGCTGAACAACCTCGCTGAGCCTCAGTTTCCCCATCTGTAAAACAGATAATAATCCCTACCTCAAAGTGAGCTTGTGTAAATTAAATGGTCCAATGTGTGCCTAATGAGATACATTAAAAGACTTCAGTGAATATGAGTATGAACTACTATTTAGTGTCGACCTACTATGCGCAGATTGCTTTCATTACCACCTTTGAGTCTCACCAGAGGCTAGATGATTTTATTATACAAACAGATAACTACTAAAGGGGTTGCTGAGATTCTGAGAGTCACTTGTCCACTGTCACAAAGCCGCACACAGCGAGATTCGAAGCCGGGTCTCCCCGACTGGCGAACAAAGCTCTGACCATGGCCCCACGGGGGAAGGGAGGGGAGTTACTGAGGCCAGGCCACAGCGTGGGGTCAGAGGTCACTCACGGTATTCCTCCAGCCGCATTATGGGCCGGAAGTAGATGGGGTAGAAGGCGGCGCCGATCAGGGAGATGAAGCCGCCGAAAATGAGCGCGGTGCGCAGGTTCGGGGTCATGGCTCCAGCCGGTGGCCGCCCTGACCCGCCGAGCAGCCCTCACTCTCGGAAACCCGGATCCCGCCGGCGGTATCGTGACCCCGCTCGGAAGAGGAGGAGTTGCTTTCGCTTCCGGGCCTTGGGGGCGGGGCGGGCTTGGGGCAGGGGTGGGCCCAAAGGCGGGGCCTATGACTGGGTGGAGCTAGGGAGGGGCGGGGTCAGGGGTCCGGCGCACCGCCTCCCGGGCTCGCCCTGGCAGCTCGTAGCGCTGGGCGAGCGCGAGCCACGGCTAGAGACTGGAGCTTTAATTGATTCCCTGTTCTGCCCCCGACCCCACAGCCTGGTTTTTCTCTCAGCCGCTCCACCCACCGATCTTCTGACCTCGTTTAACCACTCCCTCCTTTACCAACCACGTTTCTTCGTTCTTCCCCCATTGATTTGATTTTTGTGACTATACCAGGAGGTGGATGCTCTCTGTGGCTCGTTGATTTAATCCTTGTATTTTTTGCAGGTGAGGGAATCCTGGCTTGGCTGCGCGGATTTGGACAAGTCACTTGGCCCTAAAGGGCGGTTTGAGGGGATTGGAGACAAAGGTGCAAATCGCCTGGCCCAGGATGGCCCGCAGGGGATTCTGAAATCGGAGCCACAGGGGCTTAGGAACCACCTGGGAGGACGGTTTCAACATCCAAGCTACATCTGACTCTGATTTTCCATGCCCTCCTCTCTCGTTCTTCCCTTTGCTGGATGTCAGGGTTACGAATGAGGATGGGTAGTAGAGATCAGCACAGGGCAGGGAGCCAGCAGCCAGTCCCACTGATGGGACCTTGGGGCTCTGCCTTGTGGCCTGAGGTGGGAGCCACTGAGGACAGACGTCTGCTTCCTCTTCCTGAGATTGCCATCCTCCATGCTTCCAGGTGGGCTGTGCCGGCATACGACCCACCCAAGGGTACTGGGCAGCTGAGACTAAGATTCTTTGGGCCTTCATTCAGTCCTTTATTAAAAAGAATGATACCAGTGGCTGGGGGCTGCAGAGGAAAAAAGACCCCAGCACATCTTGACCCCAGCATCATTAGTTAGTCCAGAAAAAATCTACGATCTTTCAGAAATGGTGTAGAGGACACAGGTTTCCTCTTTCTTTGTAGTTTTGTAGTTGAGTCAAGCTTTTTACTTCCTTAGTTCCAGAAGCATATAAACCAGGTGTTTGATCTGTCAGCAGATTTAGGGACTGTCTGCTATGCTCCAAACATCAGGCAAAGTGCTTTGGGGGCCACAAAGATGAATAAGACGTGACCCTCGTTCTCCAGGATCCTGCTATATGGATGAAGAGACAGGACACGTACATAAAAAGATAACTAACGACCCGACACCACCTGTTGCTGGTGAGTGATACCGTCCTGTGGGCTACCAAGTTCAGAGGAGGAAGACAGATGACTGTAGGGTGAGACAGCTGCTCCTCAGGCGCTTGCAGGAGCTTGTTAGGGGGAAGAAAAAAGACTTCATAGCAAAGAGGGAAGCTGCAATGCATGCTTCCTATCACGTGATATAAAAATCCCGGGTGTAGGGCACATTTGTTGTTTTAGCCACCCAGCATCCACTTCTCTTTCTGTTAATAGTACCCCAAATATCTTCTGGCAAACCACTCCTCTCCCGACTTGTGAGGTAAACTGGAGCTTCTCCCCCAACCCCAATTCTTACTCTTTTCCAGCTCTGAAGGTTAAGCATATAGCCAGGCCTGACCAAGCTCCCTCACTCATCATGGGGATGGTGGGCACTGGACCCAGGCCTGATTGTCCAGTGTGGCTGCATCCAGATGGTCCAGCCTGGCCACATTACCCATGTTGAGCCAAACACAGTCTATCCCAGCTGCTGGGAGGCTGGATTTGAACTTGAAGGGATGAGACTCTGGAACTGCTGGGGACCATGGTTTAGGGACTGAGAATGAAGACATTATAGCAGAAGGAGAGCTGAGAGATGGAGAGAAATCAGATGCTGATACTACGTTTCAGCCCCTGAAGCCAATTGTGCCCCAAAGTGGATTTCTCAGTAACATGAACCAGTAAAGTCTCCTCTTCACTGAAGCCAGTTTGAGTTGGGTCCCTTTTTTTTTTTTTTAAATAGATCTTTATTGGAGTATAACTGCTTCACAATACCGTGTTAGTTTCTGTTGCACAACAAGGCAAATCAGCCATATACATACACGTGCCCCCATATCCCCTCCCTCTTGAGCTTCCCTCCCACCCCTCTAGGTCATCGCAAAGCACCGAGCTGATCTCCCTGTGCTATGCTTCTGCTCCCCACCAGCGAGCTATTTTACATTCGGTAGTGTATATATGGAGATGCTACTCTCACTTCACCCCAGCTTCGCCCTCCCACCCCATGTCATCATGTCCATTCTCTATATATACCTCTTTATTCCTGCCCTGCAACTAGGTTCATCAGTACCCTTTTTTTTTTTTTAGATTCCATATATATGCGTTAGCATACGGTATTTGTTTTTCTCTTTCTGACTTACTTCACTCTGTATGACAGACTCTAGGTCCATCCACCTCACTACAAATAACTCAGTTTTGTTTCTTTTTATGGCTGAGTAATATTCCATTGTATATATGTGCCACATCTTCTTTATCCATTCATCTGTTGATGGACATTTAGGTTGGTTCCATGTCCTGGCTATTGTAAATAGTGCTGCAATGAACATTGTGGTGCATGACTCTTTTAAAACAGAAGGAGTTCCAGATGAAATCACCACAGGTGGGATTTCATTTGCTCAACATCTCCATGAGCTCCAAGTCAAGGATTACTCTATGATTTAGATCAGGTCACTGAGAGCAAGAGACCTCACACCATTGGCTGAGCCAGGACCAGGACTGAGCTCTCATGATTCCTAATCGAATATGCTCCTCCATGACATCCTACTGTCTTTGCGAGCAAGCTTGGCAGATGGCTGGCTAAGCCCTATCCTCAGAGCCTCTGAAAGCCAGTGTGGAGGGTGCCAGGGTGTCCTCATGAGGTACCAGCAGTGCCTCCAAGGCAGGGACAGGACCAATGTGGGACAGATGAGCCACCCCCTGTCCAAGGTGATGAGGGAAGTAACTGGTGGTTTCCCTATCCCCTCATGCTGATCTAGGGGTTTTAGACTGGCCAGCAGCTGGCCTATAATCTATACAAATACACTAATCTATACAAACAATATAGTCCATCTATAGCTTATTAGCATCATTATACCATCACTTGCCTGCCACTGAGTCCTATTAAAACAAGTTCATCTCTTTGATCCCAAAGTTCTTCCCCTTTCTAAGAATCCCACTGACCTATAGATTCAATCAGCAAATACTTATTGTGTGCAGGCAAAGCACTGTGCTGGTTGATCAGGCGCACAAAAAAGCAGCAGTCAACATTTGCGTATTTGACAAAGGTTCACTGAGCCAGGCACTTCTCAGGTGCTGATGGATGCAGCGGTGAATTAAGAAGAGAGTCTGCTGTCCTCATGGTGGCTACAGTCTGGCGGAGAGATAAGGTATTGGCTGTGGATAGTAATTGCTTTGTGGACACTCAGCCTCCCCTAATAATAGCTCCTGCTTCCTTTCAGAGAATGACCTCTCATCTTGTCATTCTTGGTTGGACTGTAAATCCAGGGACCCTGTGCGTTCCTAGCAGTATTAATATCAAAGCTGTAGAACACTTCCTTTGTGCCAGTCGCTATCACAGGTTTACCCAGTTAGTACTCACCAATCCCCAAGGATAGGCATCCCAGTTTACAGAGAGGGAAGCTGGATCATTGCAAAAAGGACTACCTCAAGGTCACATGGCTAGTAAGTGGCAGAGCCTGGATTCAAATCCATGAGGCACCAGAGACCCGCTCTCACCATCAGTCTAAACTGCCTTGCAAAGTTAGTGTGTTCATGTTGTCTGAGTATGGGTTCAATTCCAACCGGGTCCAATTATTCTCTTTCTCCCAGAAATAAGAATCATGAGGATGGTGACACAAGGACAGACAACACTGTTGCAGTGGATTTCTTCCATTGCTAATGTTCTGGTTAGATTAATGCATATCTCCCACTTGCCTGGGGTCCTGGAGTTTCCCTTGTTTTCCTGCCTTGCAGTCTGATTCTCGATTGTTCGTTGTATTCTTTCTGCAGGTCACCCCGTATGCTTCCAGTAAACTCCCTTTGGATTTCAGTTAGTCAGAGTCAGTTTCAGTTGCATGCCATTAGGAGCCCTAATAGATAAAGAAATTCCCACATTTATTTCCAACACATGACATAGATGAAGGGCTTGGGGCTTCAGAGCTGTGCTAATGTTTGTGAATGCCAAAGGAGGTTCGGGTCTGGGGAAGGTATTCATGCAAAGGGAGAGAGAGCTCAAGGGACGTAGGGAGACAGGATGCAAATCAAATATGTCAGGAGTCCTAGGGTGCGTATTTTCATCTCAGTCACCGAGAGAAAAGTTGCTTTGGGCTCCTATCTGGCACTTCCTCCTTGCCTTGGATGTGAAGATTGAATGCTTGCGGGAAGCAGACCACCAGTGATGTCTTGCAGAGTTCAGACAGACCTCAGAGTTAATCCGCTCTCTGATCTAAGCAAAATGTGATGAGGGTTTCCTGGGACAGCAGCTCCACTAATTGCGGCACTGCAGCCCAGCTGCCGTATTTTTAGACTATTGTGGATTCCCGAGAAGTATCTACCTTCTGCGGGAAAACAGACTAGAAGCTTGGGGTTTGGAGTGGGGCGAGATCTAATACAGGACCCTCTGGACCTGTGCTTTTGAGAATATGAGAGTAAGCTGGGGAAACGCTTCCCTATTTTTCTTGGGCTCTGTGACTCTCTGAGTCCCTACCCATCTGTATAAATATTTCCAATTTAGATTACTTGTCAAGTTTTTCTTCTTTGATCTGTTTTTTACAGCTAAGAGATATCCCCAAATGTCCATGTTGGCTTATCTCTTGCCACACCATCCACCCTACAGTTTTAAGTGGTATCTTTATGATGTCCAGGTGTCCAGACGCAGCCTTTCTGCTAAAC